GGGAGGGGGCATGACGGCCCTGGCAGCCTTAGAAAGGGCAGATCCAGGCTGGCACACTCGCTCTGTCTTCCCAGGTAGATGCCCTGTTATGTTATGATGCAGCAGGAAGGCTCTTGCCAGCTCCCAGGCACTGTGTCAGCAGACTGTGTCAGTGGACTGCCAGCTCCTATTCCCCACCCAGAAGGCGGGGTACCACCACCCCTCCCGGCCCACAAGCCTCATGTTTTTCCAGTCTGGCACACATGGTCTCTGAGCACAGAGAACACTTACACTCTTTCCTGTACACCCAGGACAGTGCCTGACTCCTTAGGAACACGGCATGTTAGATGCACACGGGTGAATGGTGACTAGTGAAACAAGGACAAGGAGGAGGAGACAGTGGAGTATCACACAGCAGTTCCACCCTATTCACTGGCCCCACCAGCACCTTGGTGACACCAAGACACTCCATGTGGCCTCTGGGTGACACATCTGGGCTCAACTCCCTGAGCGGCTGCCACCAGCCAGAGCTGCAGCTGCCTGGCCACCAACATGTGATCCAAAGGCCAGGCCCGAGCCTCCCACCAGGTACACACCCATGAGCCCGGGAGCAGACCACAGGTGTGTAATGCAGCGGAACTCACACACTGCAGACCTGTAGAGCGCAGTCCCTCCCTCCCGGCCATGTGACTCGGCCCCGAAGCAACTCCCGCCAACCCTCTTCCCCATGCCTCAGGCCCTGGGACTCCAAAGAGATCTGGGATTAGAGAAGAGCAGGTCACTGAGTGGGTTTGGGGGCGGCAAGGGGTTGCCATGGCTCCACCTGACCACAGACCTCTGGGGCCTGGATCTGGTCACTGTGGAGCCTCGCCAGGCTTTGCCATGGGGGACAGAGATGGCAGGGGACAGGACAGCAGGCCGCAGGAGCCTACGGGGAAGGGCCCTGGACAGCAGGCAGGGAATGGCAGGCAGCCATACCAGAGGAGACTCTGCGACTCACAGAAGCCTACTGTGTATGTCGCAGCCTGCTGGGTACCACAGGCTGAGGCAAGGGAACAGGCATGATGCTGCCCTCAGATGAAGATACCAGGCTGTCTTCTTGTCTAAAGCACAGAAGGTCCACTGGTGAGTCGCAGGAGCAGCAAGCTGTAAGTCAGCTTCCACCTTGCCGAGGCCCCCTTTCTCCCTCCCCTCCTGAACGGGCGCCCAGGCACTGTCCCCAGTCGCCCTCCTTCCAGCTGCAGCCCAGTGGATGCTACTGTGGCCACAGGCCTGCTTTCTCCACTAGGAGATGGGGCTGAAGAGAGAAGAATGGTTTCTTTCTCCTGTGTGAGTTCAGGGCAGGAAGCAGACTCCCTGGGGAGGAGCTCAGGTACCCAGAGGCAGAATGAGCGGCTGCTTTGTGTAGTGAGCACCCTGTCCTTGAAGCATTCAAGCACCGGATGGGTAACCTGCACTTCCACAGCCCTCAGCAACTTGTAAAGCACTCCCTCCAGGAGGTACCTGACACGGGTCATTCCACAAGTCCTCTCAGCGTGACGGGTTTTCAGTTCCATTGTACAAATGAGGAAACAGCCGAGTGAGAAGGATCCCAAAGCTGCCCCACTGGAATGGCAGCCAGAAGCTGAACCCAGGTCTTTCAGGGGCACAAAATAGACACTCAGAGCCAGACTTGCCTCCCTCGCTCACAGGGTACCTAAGAAAGTCCTCGCTCCACCTCCTACCTTTGCCCATTCCCAACCGTAGGCCCCAGCAGTAGCCCTGCAGGGTGACTGGTCACCAGAGAGTGGCCGGGGCTAGAGGGCACGATCCCCTGGCAAGCTTCCTCCCATAGCTGAGCTGACCCTGCTTTCTGGGGCTGGGCCTGCCCCTCCCCGCCACATTGCACACCCACAGACAGAAGACTCCCCACACCGTCTAAGGGTGCTGCAGGGAGGGCAACTGCTGGGCCAATTAATGAGTCCAGTAGTGTTCTCCCACTCGGGAGCAATCACCCCAATGATCCAGATCTAGTCCTCCTGTCTCATTAAGAGGGCAGGGCTGAGGGGAAACATCCTGGATGAATGAAAGTGATACAGCGCTTGAAAGAGCAAACAAAGAAGTGAGGAAACTAAGTAGCTGATCTGGCCCACCCAAGGAAGATGGGTGCGATCCCTCCTCCTAGCCCATCTTGTCCCAGCCTTGCCTACATCAAACTATGGCCAGTGCTCCATCCCAGAGCCTATTCCATTTGTCATAAACTCAAGTGCCAGCATCTCCACAGCAGCCCTGCAATTTGTCACCCTGGATTCCATCTCAAGAAGCCCTGGGTACCCAGGTGTGTAGCCCCAGCATGTAGGAGGCTGAGGCAGGTCTGTGGTGACTGTGAGGCCAAACTGAACTACACAGCAAGACCTTGTCAAAGGTCTCATAGAGAGAGACAGACAGACAGACATAGAGAGAGACAGAGACAGAGACAGAGAAAGAGAGAGAGACAGACCGAGAGAGATGGAAACAGAGATGGGGGGAAGACAGAGACAGACCGAGACAGAGAAAGACAGAGAGAGACAAAGAGACAGAGAGACAGAGAGACAGAGAGAGAGACAGAGACAGAGAGACAGAGAGACAGAGAGAGAGACAGAGACAGAGAGACAGAGAGATAGGGACAAGGACAAAGACAGAGACAGAGACAGGGACAGAGATAGAGAGATGCATTGCAAGGTTCCCCTAACATCCCACTAGCCTCAAGGGCCCAAGGACCCCGGGAAGGAAGAGCAGCCATCAGGCATTCCAGGCAGAGGACCCTCCCAGAGAAACCATTTGGAGGATCCAAGGTTTGCCTGCCTGGGCCACCAAAGGCCTCCTAGACTCTTGCAAGAGATGCCACTAGGTCTTCTAAAGCAGTGGCAATCTTGGAGTGATGAGCTTGACAGAAACAATGCAAGGTGACACCAAAGACAAGAGCTGCATTTCCACCCAGCATCAGACTGACTTCCCACCTATGAAGGAGCTGAGAGCTACACTGTGCCTGTCCTGTAGCCTTCTCCTCTCCTTTCACCTGATAAAAGTTGGCAGATTCTAAATTATGAAGACTCACACTTGGAAAGTCTGCCACCTCCCCAGCTCTACCCTGATGTGGGCAGGCTCAGGACACAGGCTACCAGCAAATTTCCTTCCAGAACAGCAGCAATGTCTCACATGAGGCAAGGCTGTTTCAATGTCTCCAGTGCATCCTTAAGTTCTGAAACTAAGGTGAATGGAGAAGGGCAGGCCTGTCCTGTCTGTGTTAGGGCTGCTCTTCTCCCTTCGCTCGTAGCCTGTGAGACACGGTCGGGGCAAATTCCCTGGGAGAGGCAGACGGGGGCCATTGGTGAGATTCAAGAGAAAAATGGAAATGGGACTTTCCAATTCACCAAGACAGTGACAGCAGGCCCTCCATACTTCAACCATCATCCCCACCCCAAGAAAGGGCTGCAAGTGAAACCAGTAGTGCCCTCCAGCCTTCCTCTCCACAAGGCCAACCCAACTCCACCCTCTAGGCAGCTCCTCAGAGGTGTACATCTGAGGTATTCACCAGCTTCATCCCTGGATGGTGGGATTCAGGGTTTGACCAGGGAAGCTCTGGGACCAGAAAAGTGACAGAACATAAAAATGGCAGAAACAAAAGCAAAGTGGGGCATCCTGAGGCCAGGGTTATTTCTCCACACGCTGTTATGGCTTGTATCTAGATGTCCCCCCAAACCCTCATGCAGCCACAGGTGGGGAGTTTTAAACGTGGCAGGATTAGCGTATGTGAATGTGGACTGAGGATGTGATAAAGCAGGCCTGCTGCCTACCGTGTTATGAACTTGCTCCTCTGCAAGGCCCTGTGCCATGCTACTGTGCCGCAGAGCCAGCCAACTCTGTGCCAAAACCTCTATAAATTGTGAGACAAAATTAATCTTTCCTCCTTTAACTTTTGGGTTTGGGGTCTTTATTCTAAGCAACAAGAACAGTAGCCAAGACACCCTACATAGCTATGTTGTGTGGAAGGGTTTGTGAGGGGTTGGGGACATGGCTTGGCAGCAGAGCACTCACCTAGCACACACGAGTCCATGGGCTCCATTCCTAGCACCACCGTCACACACAGACACACACACACACACACACACACACACACACACACGCTGTACAAGCATAGCTATGAACATCTCACAACAGAAATACAGAATTTGGGGAAATCATCTGATGCCATGTTACTAATGATCCACACCCAAACAGAAAAGCAAAGAGGAACAAAGGTGGGGTTTTTGGTCAGATTTGCATAAAATCTCCAGAAGTTACTGATGCTGTGTGTTACCTTCAAGGAGAAGCACCAGATGGCTCACGGACAGAGTGACTTTTAAGCCATTTGAATACTAAGCCATGTGAACATATGGCCTATTCAAAATAAATATCCTTTAAAAAGAGAAACTGTCCTCGGGCCCCAAGCTGGGCAGTCGGGCCTCTTGGGTTCTGGACCCACCTCCGCCACACACTGACTGTGCAACTTGGGGCAACTCACGCAGCCTCGCTAGGCCATGCTGCTAAACACAAGTGGATAAAGCGCCTGCTCAGGCAGAGTGCAGTGACCTGGGTTCGATCCCTGGTGTGCCATGCCAGCCCTGCCCCCAAGGCGTGCTGAAATGGAGACTGAAATTGGGTACAGTGGTACACGCCTATAATCCCAGTGCATGGGAGGCTGAAAACAGAATTACTACGAGGCCGATCTATGTAGTGAGGCCCTGTAGACTCTGTACCAAATACATATTAAAAAAAAAAAAAAAACCACAAGTGGATTGAGTAAGTGATCTGTACAGCTACAGACTGAACTTTTGTGTCCCTCTCCAACTTGCACTGAAATGCAGTCCCCATGTCATGTATAATTAGACGATATAGTGGGGCCCTCATAAATAGGATTAGTGCCCATATAAGGAGCTAAAGGGGACTGGGTACAGCTCAGTGGTAGACATTACCCAGCATGCATGAGGCCTTGGGTTCCATCTCTAGCACCAATAATAATCATAGACCAAAGAGAACACAGCTTGTTTATCAATAAAATTATGGGAAAAAATAAAAATATAAATAAATAAATAAAATAAAAAAACAAAACAAAGAGAACACAGCTTTACCCCGCTTCCAAGAGAGGCACAGCCAGAAGGCACGATCTAGGAGCAGAAAGCGGGCACTTACCACATACCAAATTTGCCAGCACCTTATTCTTAGGCTTCCAGCCTCCAGGCAATGAGAAACAAATTTCTGCTGTTAAAAGCTACCGGGTTTGTGGTGTTCGGGGAGGGCGGTGCTGGGGATGGAGCCAGACCTCGCACACACTAAACACACGCTGCACCACTGAGCCTTGTCCCCAGCCCCTGTGTTTTTAGTAGCAGTCCAATTACATAAATCAGCCCCATTCGGCTGCAGAAGTCTATGATTTTAGTCTCCTGGCTAAACTCTGAAATCCATGAGGAAGGATGGAACAATTTTGGAGTCTTGGAAAACTTCCTTAGCAAACCTTGGCTCAGGAAGATTTTGCTTCCCCAGCTGGGAGCCTTTTGCTGCCTGGAACCCAGACCTTCAGGCTAAGCTGCCCAGGACTGAGCTTCGAGACAGGAGGAAGACAGAAGACGCAAAGCAGGGACCAAGAGCAGCAGAACTCAACTTTCAGAGACACGGCTCTGGAGTCAAATCCCAGGCTTGAGCTGTGTGACCTTGAGTTCCTATGAGTCAGCTTCTCGAGACTAGAGAATAGCAGCTTCATACAGCTGAGAGTCCAGGCAAGAACACATGCAAAGCACCTGGCCCGTGGGAGGGCTTCAACAGCTACTAGTTCCCTTCCTTCCTTCATACAAAGCAGCGTGCATGCTGGGCTGAGTTCTGTAAATTCTCTCTTTGTGTCAGTTTCTGCGTGCACATCCGGGAACACGGCCCCCTCAGGTGGCTATCCTAGCAATGCTGTTGCTATGAATGGGAGACAAGTTACTGTAGGGAAGCCTAAGCCGCCCCTCATACCCCCCCCCGGGGGGGGGGACAGAAAACAAAACATACCTGCCAGCTTAGGACCTGGGGGAGAGGCGGCTTATGGCACATTTGTCTGCATGACAGAGAAGCCCGCTGACCCTAGGGAAATGGCTCTCGGGGTCTCCAGCTGGTAGGCAGGAAGCGGGCAGGGGCAAAGAGAGGCGGAGAGGGTACCGACTCTCCCCAGAGTGAGTGCGGGTGCTCTGGGGCGGCAGGGACAGGGTGTGGGGTTCTATACTTTACTAGGGCCCCAAGCACTTAACAGGCTCTGATCCTAGATCTCCCCTCATCCATAAAAACTGGAGCAGAAAATACCTAAGTCAGTACCGACACCAAAGTCACGGTGATGATTAAATCACATACCGGGGAGGGGTTCCATGACTACGAGTATCTTCCCTCCCTCCCTTCTCAAGAGGAAGGAGGCAAAAGCCTCCAGAGGAGAGACATCCACAGAACTGTCTGGTAGAAAATGGACCTGCAAAGATTTAATTGATGCAGAAAACACAGGACCGTCGCCAGAGCGGGTCGTATCGCATGAGCTATTCCCAAAGCACACCGGCTGTGCCAAACAGAAGACTTTTATGCGTGTAGCAGGTTCTGCCTAGAAAATATCGGAGCGGGTGAAAACCCGCTGGATCTTCAGGTCTTTTTCTACGGCAAACAAATGAGGGTGGGACAGTGAGAGTTGGTTTCTATAGGTCGGGGGAGCAAGGGCCACCTCATAGCTTTCAAGATTTAAAAATGGGGCATTTTGTTTAAACAACAGAACAGATGTCAGAAAACATTCCATGCAGGCCCACAGGAACCCAATAATGGGCAGAGGCAGTGGGCCTGCAGGAAGCCGTGCCAGCAGGGTGGCAGCTCTGCCTGTACACGACCCTCCCTGCCAATGACTGGAACTAGCCCAGCCCTCATGTCAACTTCTGGGATCTGACAGGGCTGGCACAGGTGGAAAGGGAGATGGAAACAAGGCCATGATTGCACCCAAGGTGTCTGGGAAAAGAGAAACTGTGATGAGGGCCAGAAGCCATCCATCCTTTCCTGTGGCTTCCAGCTTCCTGGAAAAGTGGGCATGAGACCTGAGATATTAACTGGGAGGAGCCCCAGGGAGGACACGCCCAACAGCCCTGAAGCAGCACAGTGCTGGCAGACCCAAAGAGGCCAATGTCCTGGGGCCAGCCTCCAACTTCCAGCAGGGCTCTGCATAGCACAGCCCAGTCCTGAGATAGTCAAAAAGAAAGCTGCAATATTTCAGAAAGGAGACATTCAAGAATAAAGGGAAGAGGAAGGAACTGATCTCACAAGACTGAGGTATTAAATAGACACTGGCCCAGAAGAGCCAGGTCCCAGGGCACAAACATACTGGGAGGCTTTGTCCTGGGCAGTGAACCCTAGCAGGGCCCTGCCGGTCCACGGACCAACCCCACTCCTGAGGGAATCCCTGGCTCCAAGGCAGCTCTATGAATACCACCCTTCCTCTCAAAGGGGTCTAGGTCTCTGAAGGTCCTCAGTGGCCACACTCCTCATTACTGTCAAGTTCATGCACAGGCTCATGTGAGTCCACACATCTCAGCCCAGAATCAGGTTCTCAGTCACAGTGTGGCTGACTCTCCAACCATCCCATCCTTTCCACCCATCTCCAGATTCTTCAGAGTCCTGAGTGGGGTGCAGCAGAGGACAGGAGCGTGCGCTGTCAGAGTAAAGTGCAGGCAGCTGCTTAGGCACTTGGTCTGGGGAGGAGCCAGCTCCCAAGCCCATCTTGGGGCTCAGTAGCGATACACGTTCAGTCCGTTGTTTTCGTCCAGGCCCAGCTGCAGCAGGTTTGAAGTGGCTGACGGCTTGGGGACCGAGGAGAAGAGATTTCTGGTCACAGGTGAAGGAAAACTCTGGGCAGCTGAGCACACCCAGGTAGAAGCCAAGAGGGAGGCAAAGGCACAGCACAGGCCCTGCAGCTTGGGGACCCGCTAAAAGGATACACTTTGGGGTCATTCTTGAAGCGGTCCAGCCACTTGCGGTTGGCCTCAATCATGCCCTGGATGCTGGTGCTGCCCATCTCGGGGACTCTGGAATGGGGCCGCTGCAGGAGGCGGAGCTGCTCACTGGGAAGGGGAAGGAGAGGGAAGTGTGGGGAGAGGATGAGAGTGGGCAGGGCTCTGGGGAGGGGGTGGCAGAGCCAACTGGAGGCCACCATGCCACTCCCCTCTTCCTCTCTGTACCAGGATCTCTCGGGCAACTCAAAACTGCCCCTCCAGAAAGACTGGCCCAGAAGGGCAAGAGCTCGCTTGATCTTGATTTTCAGTAAGAATGTTGACTGTGGAAGTGGGACCTCATGTTTTTAAAAAGACAAACAAATAAAAAGACAAAAAGACAAGCACCAGTTTCCACAGGGCAAGGTGACAGCTGCCCTCTGCCTTGTTCCTGGGGACTTGCTACTGACGTCACTCTAAGCTCCCATGGCTGCCTAACCAGCCAAAAGCAAGACGCTCCCCGTCAACTGAGCTCCCAAGCTGGCCTAAAGAGATGGCTGGGGCTTGAGGCGGAGGAGGGGCATCTGGCAAGGAATAAGATGAATGGGAAATTAATAACAGGTTTAAATAATTGCCCGTCTGTCACCCCCACGGGGTGTCCCTCTCACTCCAGATGTTGCTCAGCAAGACTCAGGGAAGAAGAGAGATGGAGGAAGCAGACAAACAAAGAGCTCAACAGTAAAGACAAAGGCCAAACTCCAAATTCCAGGGCTGAAAGAGCCACAGAACGGGGCAGGATGCATGGCTCCTCCATGGGCAGATTTCTCCCCATGGCTGCCAAGGGCAGCGTCCCCAAGGAGCCAGCTGGGCAAGCCTGCCCCAACCACCCCAGCCCACCCTCAGCAGTGAAGACCTGACTTCTCCCTGGCTGTGCAAGGACACCTCAGACCCGGCAAGGCAAGGGCAGCTTGCGGCCCAGGGCCCTGCCTGACCTCCTGAGGCAACAGGACACGAGGTCTGCTCCTCTCAGAAGTGCTGCTTTGGGGCCAGGGAGATGGCTCAGTAGAATACGTGCTTGCCTGGCAAGTGCTAGGGCCTGAGTTCAACCCCTGGTTCCGCCAAAAAAGAAAAAAGAAATGCTGCTACCCAAGTGGGCATGTGGGCTGCTTGATTGTCCCACCCAGCCCCAGGAGGCTTACCTGGCAGACATATAGCCCAGCCTGTTCTCCAGAGGGGGAGGGCAGCTGCTGAGCAAGGGGATGCCAGCTGAAAAGGGGGGGAGCAAGAGTTCAAGTAACAGACAGGATTCATCCTATTTTATCCCTAAAACTTAATTTATTTTTCTTTTTTTTTTTTTTTTTTTAGGTAGGGTCTTGCTATGTAGTTAAGGCTGGCCTTGAGCTGTGATCCTCCTGAATTCTAGGATTATAGCCTTATGCCACCATACTGGGCTTGTTTTTCAATTTGAGTTGAGAAAAAAAATACGGTCTGGGGCAGAAAGAAGAGGGGTTATTTATTTTTGTTTTTTATGTATCTTCTCCTCAAATGACTATGTGCTTATGGCTCCCCACAGCAGAATCTTCAAGTCTGAGACATTGGGTCAAAACCCAGGGTTCAATCCCTGGCCTGCCGTGCTGGCCCCACCCCCAGGGCCCACTGAAATGGCAATTGAGACGGGGCGACTGGGCGTGGCAGCGCACCTGTAATCCCAGCCCTTGGGAGGCTGAAAACAGGAGAATCTCTATAAGTCTGCATCTATGTAGTGAGACCCTGTAGACCCTGCACCAAACACATTTAAAAAAAAAAAAAAAAAAAAAACCCAGGGTCACACTTATCCTCACCCATCTCGGCTCACTCATTTATAAAATGGGGATAAACAACTTCCTCCACAGGGAACTATCGTATGGACTAAATGCCTGGCCCATAGTGACTGCACAAGATGTAGTCGTTATGACAATGACAATGGTAACCTTTCAGGTTCTGCTCAACTCTAGAATCCAGAATAAAGGCCCCCAGCAGGCAGGCCTGTGGAAGCCATCCTGACCACAACAGCTCAAGCTGCACAGCCACCAGCAAGATCTTCACGAGGGACCTACAGACGAGCCACAGGACCAAAGCCGGATGCAGGGGCGAGAGGTAGGCAAAATAAAAAGACACAGGAAAAGCAGAAGAAGAGGGTAGAAGAGAAGGAAGAAAGAGGGAGAAGCTCAGACCAGGGCCCAGCAGGAAGCTTACAGGGAAAATACTTGCGCCACTTCTCTAGCAGGAAGTCGTCCACTGTTTGAGCCACGGAAGAGGAGAGCCTGGGGCCCTGCCCTGGGTCCCAAGCCCACTGGGTGGACATGGGCGCAGCAGGGGACAAGGCTGAGGCCTTGTTCAGGGAGGAGAAGGCAGGAACGGAGGTGCTCTTGGAGCACGGCGAGGACGTGAAGAGTGGCGGTGGTGGCTGAGTACTGAGGCTGCCCAGCACGCTGAGGACACCATTGAGCTCGCTGCTGATCCGCTGCAGGGAGCTGCTCAGGTAATGGATCTTGTTGGGGAAGGCGGGACTTGGGGTCGGGGCAACTGAAAGGAGAGAAGCAGGACCCAGCTTCAAGCACTGGGAAGATGCTGGGGAAAGACCCAAGTTCAAGGCCCTGGAACATTCCAGACCCATCTGGCACTGTAGCCCCCAGTGGCTGCCCCTCAGCCTCATGACAGGGACAGAGGACAGCAGGTCTTCTGTGGTCCTGATAGTGCAGACCCTGGAGCAGAAGCCCAGGACCCTGAGGGAAGGAAGGGAGCCTTCCGCTCACCTGCAGGACACAAGAGGAGAACGCAAATGGCCTTCCCAGAGGCCTGAGGAGAAAGGGGTATAGGGACAGCTGGCAGCACCCAGAAGGGTCCCTGATCCTGCTGGTACTGGTACTGCAGACCCAGGTGGGCTTCACTCCTCCCCACCACCTAGTCCAGACACCAGCCACACACACACACACACACACACACACACACACACACACACCCCACCAGCTGAAGGAAGAGGGCTGTGGCTAGGTCTTGTCCCTCCCGTCCCTGCTGCTGCTACCACTCACCATAAGGCAGGGGGTAGGACACCGAGCTTTCACTGCTCAGGTCGTCTGTGTCACTGAGGTCGAAGGTCACCACCTTCTTGGCAGGGCTCCCTTGCAGAAGGCTCCCTCGTGGAGTGTCTTCATCTGAGGCCTAGTGGGACAAGCAGTCATTAGTGCTGCCCCTTCCTGTGTGCTTCCTACCCTGCTGCCCCTGTGCTGCTTGGGCCTGAGGCCTTGGTGACTGGCCTCTTCGGGGCCCAGAGCTCTGCTAGGCATACCATGTAAACTGCCTTGGGAGGAAGTGAGCCTGAGAGCCCTATTGCCAGAAATGCAGGCAGTAGGGCTGCTGGGACCGGGTGGACCCCACCGCTCTCTCCCCTGCGCTGTCCCTGCAGTGTCTTCACCTGAGCTTCACTGATGCCACATCCAAGCCCCTAGAATGCAAGGCAAAGTGTATATGGCCCCCGGGAAAGGAAGGACACCTGGGACCATGTCCATTCTCACACTGGTCATACCTCTCTTCAGGAAATGCATCAGGGCAGGGCAGAGATCATTCCTTGACCTTCCCCACCTGAGCTCACAAGCGGCTCCAGCGCTGCATAGGACTATCTAAACCCAGCCATGTTTATCAAACAGCAAGAGCCATAGCCATTTTCAGCCAGAAGTCCACAGCCAACACCCAATTCTGAGTCCTAGAGGTCTAACTCCCCCTAATTCAGGACCCAGGAACAACTCAACCCCGTCCTGGGGACAGAACAGGGAGGCCGCAGCCATACAGGGCTGTGTGGCCACAGAAGACACCTCTTCCTGAAGAGAGGACTCCAACTGGTTCAGCTTCTCCTCCTTCCTCTTCAGCAGGTCGTGGCCTTTCCGCATGGCTGACTTCATCTCATCCAAGTGCTTGGTTTCCTACAGCCAGGAAGGAAGGGGTGGAGAAAAGGCCACCCACACAGAAACTGGAGCCCTAGCTCTAGCGGACTGGCTGGGTGGTCTTGAACACATTACCTCTCAGTCTGAGAGAATGGAGACATGGTACAGGGTATGCTTAACACCGCCCGCACCTTGTAAATTCTCAAAAATGGTGACTGTTGTCATCACTGCTCCAAGTATTTATTGCCAACATCTTTCAGGGGTCTAAGAAGGGCAGTCACAGGCCCTGGAGGAAGCACGTACACACCCTGGAAGCCCCAAGCTGTACCCGCCCCTTGCCCTCTGCTGCTCCTTGCCAGGCACAGGGGCCACAGAGCTAAGCACCTCATCTGTTCTCACACCATCAGAGTTCAGAGCCCACCCCGCCTAGACCCCTACAAGTACAAAGAGCTGTAACACTGGCTAACAATCCTTGTCACTACAAATGACGCTGAGAGAAGCCAACCAGAGAAGTAACTCAGTCTTCAAGCTCAGTGTCCAAAAGATGTTCCTCTACAAATCCACTCTTTATCATTACACAGGGAAAAGCAAAGCACTGGATTTGAAAATTCTTAAACCTCAGTCCTACTCTTCACCTAGAAAATGGGAGGAAGAATACAGGGTGAGTCTGTCTTATCCAAAATGCTTGGAAACAGAAGTGCTCCAATTCTGGAGTTTTTCAGATTCTAGAATGCGTACACAATCTCTGCTGGCTGAAAGGATTTTCAATCTATACCACCACACACATTATATATACAGCTCACACAAGGCTCAAATGATCTGCTAGTAGAGAAGGCATTTGTTTGCATATGCTGTGTGGCCATGTGAATGTGGGTGACCCCAAGGCCCAAGCAGCTTTTCCACAGGAGCCCCCAGGACGAAGGTTCACATGCACCCTAGGCCTCCCGCTGCAGGGTCAGCGCTCTCCTCTAGGTCCTGACCTCCTCCAGGTTCTTTCGCACATCTTCTAGGGCCTGGGTGTCCAGTGGGTCATCAGGTTCCTCCTGGGAACTGGCCAGCTCCTGCCGCCAGTGCTGCTGGGCAGCTTTCAGGGCTGTCTGCCGCCTCCTCATGGAGCGTGTCTGCCGCACCAGGAACTCCTTGGCACTACGGACGGCCAACCCTTCAGCAGAGAGGTAGTGCCGGACGCTGTGGGAGGACAGGCAGGAATTGGAGGAGCAAAGCAAAGATTTGAAAGCTGCTCTGGGACCCGTGGCCACTTTCTCAGCAAATGCCCACCCTGAGCACACGCAGGAGCTGCTCATCAGCAGCTGGGCAGGCACAGGGACATCGCTGTTAAATACCTAAGCACATGGCACATGGGACTAAGAGTCCTTCCACTCTGATCTGAAAGGGATGTGCCTGGAGCCTGGGAACAGATGGCCAGACACTTGCAGCAGTCTGGTCTGCAAGCAGAGGTCAGCAGACGCCAGCGTGCCATGTCAAGGGTCACAGCGGGCTGCTGCTTGGCATGGCAGAGAAGAATCCTCCATCACTCCCCAGCCAAGCCCACTGGTAGCCACTGCCCTAACCTGAAATAAGGCAGGATTGGGAAACTCACCTGTCCGAGGACAAGATGGTCTCCTCCTTACTCTGGGAGAAAGGGGAAGATACCTCTTGGGTCTGCTTCTATGAACACAAGAAAAGACCTACTGAGTGCCACAAAAGCTCACACCCTGAAGGCTCAAGAGATCCTGAAGCCCCTCGCAGTAGGCAGACAAGGAAATGGCTCTGCCAGCTGCCGGGCACTCCTTACCTACAGGTGGAGATGGTGGAGAGGGCCAGCGACTGGGAACAAGCAAAGGAGGCCAGGCCAGGTCCCAAAGAGAGTGGAACCAGGGCCCTCCTGGTAGCCCGCCCTCCTGCTGCCCCCACCCAGGCCCCAGCTCACTGTGCCCAGTGATTTCCTCAGGTCCTCGATGTGGAGATCTGGCTCAAACTTCGTGGCAGAACTGTTCTCCTCCACCACCAGCTCTCTCAAGCTGTTCCGCCTCCTCTGAGCTTCAGCCTCCAGGCTGCTATGGTGGGGAAGGGAGCGGGGGGAAGGATGTGAGGCAGGGTCAGGCGATGAAGCAGGCCAGGCAGCACACTATCAAGACCATTTCCGCGCCCTCGTTCCCATCAAAGTCACCAAGCGGGACTGAGACATAACAGTGCAACAGGGATCCTGCTCTTCGCAGCCTCAACATGCTACTCCTGCAAAACGCAGCAGACACACAGCCCTCTGCCTGGCCCCCACCTCTCCTTATTAACTGGACCCTGATGAGACAGGGCCCGAGAGCAGCTGTATCAGAGGACAAGCAGGCGGGGTTGGCCAGGTGGCCCGGTGCAGGGCGCCACACCACCTGAGGTGTCTCTGTAGCTTCTGACTCTGCGCCTGCAGCAGATCCACTTCGGACTCCAGCTGCAGCTTGCGGGCCTGCAGCTCGTCCAGGACCCTCTGGAGCTGCCGCTTGGACTCCACCATGTGGGCATGCTCTTTCTTTGCCTCTTCCAGGTGCTGCTGGGTGGCAGTAGCTTCCTGGAGATGGAAGGAAACACAGACACACCTGGAGACACAGTCGGGAGAAGACAAGACACAGCCAGCCCTTGAGAGAAGGGAAGCCAGCAAACGACCAGGGAAGTCAGAGCCTCTGAAGCCACTGTCTCTGTTTCAGGAGTCTGAAAGTTCCTAGCTGCCCGCACAGCCCACACCCTGAGGCTCCCGAGTTCAGGGCCCACTGGGGCTTGAGTTGTGCAGTACTGGCCCTCACAGCCTGGAGCCCACAGTCCTGGACACACAGGTGAACAAAAGGGGGCCTGGAGGGGTGAAGGAACAGCAAAGAAGGGAGCACAGGAGAGGCAGACAAACCTCACTCTGCAGCGCAACCTGCCTCTGTACATCAAGCAGCTGCTGCTTCTCCTTCCGCACAGTCTCCTCCTGGGAGAAACACGAGCCCCTGGGCTGGCTGCACAACCCCAATACGAGGGGTAGGGCCTGCCCTCCCCTGGAGGCTGCCTCAGGGCCCCTGCAGAGCCAGCCTCGTCCCCAGCCCCTCACCTGGACATCCAGCTGAGCCATTCTAGCTCTGACATCTTTCATTCTGGTTTCAAGTTCCACCTCTGAGTCCTGGAGTTTCCTTTCCTGCCCAGGAGTACAGTGGAGAGAGGATGTAAGTGGAGAAAGAGTAAGGCATTAGCTGAGGAGAGGAGGAGGTTCCAGAATCCACCGTACTGCTGCACAGCCTCTGGGCTGGGCTCAAGCTGGCTTCCTCTCCGTGTCCCCCAGCCGACTCCCAGGAACAGATGACACCCTGACACCCAGCGGGGATAAGAGAGGCAGACATGCCAACACCAAGCCTTATAGGGCTAACCTCACCTTCTAGTCCTGGGCATTTTTCCCTGGCTCAGAAAAAAAAAGAGTAAAGAGGCCCCAAGCTTCAATATGGATAGAGAGATGGCTGGGTGTGGTGGTGCACACCTGTAATCTCAGCACTTAGGAAGCTGAGGCAGGAAGACTAGCACATGCTTGAGGGCAGCATGAACTACACAGCAAGAGCCTGTCTCAAGAAACAAAATACGGGCAGAGAAAGACCCCCACTCCTGAAGCCACCAGGGCCCCATCCGGCTGCGGCCAGCTCTGCGCTCCCAGCACTTCCCCATCCTCACAAAGGTGGACACGGGGGCTCTTCCCAGGCCTCCACCTGCTCCTGGTGCCGGCGCCGCAGGTCCCCGAGCTGCTGCTCCTGCTCCTGCCTCGCCATCTCCAGCTCCCGCTCATGGGTCCTCCGCAGCTGCTCCAGCTCTGCAGTCAGATGCCCCAGGAGGTCGGCCCGCTGCTTCCTCTCCTGTAAAGGTGCAAGGAACTGTAGGTAGAAAACTTCAGGACCCCTGGTACCTCCCAAATCAGTCTTCTCTGCCCCTTCAACGCAGGTAAAACTGGGTCATTCCCTGCATCCCATGACAGCTCTCGGTCCCAGTCCTCAGGGAGCCTGCCTGCCCCCATCACTAGCCAATGAAGCAGATGCTGGCCAGACAGCCTTCCTCCTTAGTGAAGAGTTCATTGACCGGTTCCCACTAGTCCTCAGAGGGGTCAGGAAAGGGAGGAGGCCTAATTTCATCAGGGAACTATTATTGCTGTCCCAGAAGAATGCAGAGTCCAGAGTTCCAGTTACTGGAGCAAGAGCCCAAAAGCCTCCCACAGGGCCCAGCTGGGGACTGAGAGTCCCCACCTGCTGTTCACCCCAAACACAAATGAACGGAGCCAGCCCGTGTTCGCTTAAGAACTGAACATTCGCACCTTAAGGCCAAGACGAAGATGGGCCACTAATATCTAAATATCGTTTGGCTCTTGCCAGTCTGCTACTTGGTGTCCTGAAATTTCATTAGCCCTCAGGGCCTGCTGTGGGAATGACTAAACCTGAGGGCTCTGGAGTTGGACAGCTGTGCTGGAACCTTCAGTCCTTTCCTAGTTAGTGGTATGATCTCGGAAAGTGACTTGCACTCCCCAGGACTGAGTGGCCTCCTCTTTAAAGTGGAGATGATGACAGCACACACTTCCCAAGGCTGTTTCAAGGATTTGACAAAGGGTTGAGATACCTAAAGAGCTCAGCACGGTCTGCCATACAACGCAAGGCCCGTATGTCAGCTGCTGTCCCCTCTTCATTGAGAGAGTACAGCCGCGAGGGTGCCGGGAGGAAATCCCCCACAAGCCCTGACCACAAGGCTGCTTCCATCACACTGCAAGTGGAGAAGGAGAGGAGAGAGGTGTGGGACACAGTTGCGCTACCTCAGCTTCATACAGCTCTCGGGCCTCAGCCAGGGCTCGCCAGTGCTCCTCCTTCATCTTGTCCAGCTTTCTCTCATGTTCCCTTTCCACCTCCTGTCGCTTCTCTCGCAGGAGGCTGCTGAGCTGCAAGATGCACAGCCGGGAGGCAGCTTGCAGGACTCAGGGGGGCAGGAGCAGGGCACCCCAGAGCCCCCACCCGCCCCACCCCATCTCACACGCACCCCTCCCCCACCCCGCTTCCCCACAGGCAGTGTCAGCTCCTGGGGAAACAGGGCCCATGGGCCAGCCCCTCTGAGCCATGCCAAGCAAGAGCAGAGCACTCGGGCCATGGTGCAGCTTGCGCCCAGCACTCACCTCCTGCTCGTACTCAGCCACCCGGTGAGCCTTCTGGTGAGCTCTCTGCTCTGCCCACCCGAGGTTCTCTTCAAGACGAGCTGCCTCTTTCTGCTGAGCTTCCTCTATCTTCTTCTGGAGGCCAGAGACCATCTGAGGAGGCACCAGTGTGATGCCCAGTGACATAGTAGTGCCACCACATGGGGACTTGCTCCCAGACCCCCACACCCCTCCCAGGGGCCTGGAAGGAGAGGGAGGCTTGCGCCCTGGTAGCCAGAGGACGGGCGCTGTCCTGCTGGCCAGCATGAGGGCATCACAGGTGCTGGACTGAGCCTCACCTCACGGTGCTTAGCCTCGAGTGAGGCATGGAGCCGCCCCAGCTCAGCACTGTGCTCGATTTCCAACGCCGCCACAGCCTGGGGGCAGCAAAGGGCCTGTGAGGGAAGCTGGGCAGGGACACTGGCCAGACAATGACCAGAGGAAGGCGGAGGCAGGAAGATCACCCCAACCTGCTTGTGATAAGGGACTAAGGGAAATCACAGTACACGCTGTTGCTCTAAAATTGCTCAACCCCTTAAGGACTGCAAGCGGCACGAGGACAGAACCCAAAGGCCAGAGCAGAGGGCCATGCCAGCACGCCTGGCCCTGGGTGAGCCACAGTGAGGGCGGACTGACTGTGAATAAGACCCAAGCCAGGGAGGCTGGCGCCGCGTGCTCTCTCGAACACCCTCATCCTGCTGCAGTTTCTCCATCGTGCAGTCTCACTCCTCACCAAAGGAGAAGAAATTTCTGCATGGCCTGCCTGGCGTCGTGGTGTCCACCCTGGAGGTAGCCCGTCACCCCAGAGGGAGAGGTATGGACAGAAGACAAAGCCCCTTCCAAGGTGCTGGCCTGTCATTCTGAGACCAGAGAAAACCAAGGAGACAAAAGGCACTGCAGCTGCTCCTCAGGGACAGGGACAGGGACAGGATGCCTTTACCTCAAGTGTTCTGGCCTGGAGGACGTCCTGTCAGTTGTGACACCTTCCCAGCCACAGGACATTGCCCCCACAAGCCTCTGATGGCTCCGTGCCACTGGCAATGCCCAGCTGCTGCCTCTAGTCCAGCCAGACCTGGAAGCCACTAGAATCTGCCACGTCTTAAGCTGGGCCAAGGAGCCCAGGGTTAGCCCTGCCCAGACAGACAGCTCCGTTTCGTAGAACTGCTTGTACACGACACCACTGCGCCTGGCACTCAAGCGTGCCCCTCCTCTGCCTCCGCCTCAGCCCCACCCACAGCCCAGGCTGAGTGGGGTCCCCAGTGAGCCCCTCACTTCTTTCCTCTCTCCTTCCAGCTGCTCCTTCAGGTGCTGCAAAGCCTCTTCCTTCTGGGTCTCCAAGGCAGCCCGTGCTCGCTCCTCCGAGGCCTTTAGCTCTTCCCTGAGTTGTTCAAGCCGCTGCCTGCTTTTCTGTTCCAAGCTGTCCCTCTCAGCCTTTTCTAGGGCCTCGAGCTCTTCTCTTATCCTCTGCAGGGACGCCTCCTGCTCAGCTCTTGGGAGAGAGACCAGGGTAGGGACGTGCTCTGGACTGCCACCTGCACGAGCTGCACAGGCCCCCATATGCTCTCACCTGATCTGCTCCTCATCTGCTTCCACACTAGACTGGACCTGGGCTCGGAGCCGGGACAGCCTCTGACCCTCCTCCTCTTTCATCCGAGCTTCCTCCTCCTCAGTGGCTTTCTGCAGCTGCTCCTTCAAGGAACTGAGCAGGAAAAGAAAGGGCAGCTTAGACGGAGGGACCACAGAGCTACTTCTTGCTCTGTTCATATTTCCCCTCCTCTCGGCCAAGAGCATCCTCAGACTTAGAGAGGAGTCTAACCTCAGCCTCTGGGCCCCAGTGCCACCCTACCAGGCATCCTGCAGCCCCGAACTCCACCACTCTTCACCACAGGAAGTGGATCTCAGGCTGTTGGGGCCTAGTGCAGCATCTCTTCAAGGGTTCCCTCCACCTACAGGGCCAACCTGCTGGTGGCATCCACTCAAGGAAGGTTATGGACAACCTGACTCTGAAGGTCTTTTTCTTTGTGTGGTACCGGGGATTGAACTCAGGATCCTGCACTTGCCAGGCAGGCACTTATGCCACTGTGCTAACTCCCCGTCCCTGCAAAGTCTTAACAACCCTCTCAAAGTTTGTTAGTTTAACACTCCTACCACACGTGCTTTGTGGATCGTTCTTATTCTGTGCTACCCTGTATCATGCAGCATAATTTCTCTGTTTTCCTTGCAAGTCTGGGAGCTTCTTTAGAGCATGAATACTGTTTTAAAACCTGTTATATCCTAAAAGCACACAAGGCACAACAGACATAAAGTGGGCGCTCAGTAAGTGTGCCCTGGCCTTGAACAGTGTCATCCAGCCCCAGAGCACAGGCCTGGACAGTCCATGCAAGGTGCCTGTCTATGGACCAGGGACTGACCACTTCATCCTAAGCAGACCGCCACCCTGCTTACTCTCACTATATCCATTTGCCCCTTCCCGGCCCCTCCATCTCTCAATCCCCTTCCCGTCTGGGAATGATCTATCTCTCTACTTCCTATTACCTTTTATTTTGCTCTTTATTTTTTCTTTATCTATTCATCTGCTGATGGCCACTTCCAAGATTTAGCTATTACAAATTATACTGCTATAAACATGGCTACACACAGATCACTGTGATATGACATCTTTAATTCAGGAAGATACTTAGAAGAGGAATAGCTGGGTCAAATAGTTTTAGTTTCGTGAGGAACCTCCACACTGACTCCCACAGCAGAAGTACCTACCAGTTTACAATCCCACCAACACTACAGAAGGGTTCCTATTTCCCCACAGCCTCGCCTTGCTGGGGTAAGAGGCAATCTTGCTGTGGCTTTACTTGGCAGTTCTCTACCAGCCAACAATGCTGAACATTTCTTTATGTATTTATTGGCCATTTGTATTTCTTCTTCTGTGAAGTGTGTACCATTTCCCTTGCTTGTTTTCCAACTGGGTCATTCATTTTGGAGGGAGTCTAATTTTTTTTTTACTTCGTTATAAATTCAGATATTAGTTTAGACTTCTGAGGAAGAGCTGACAAAATCTGATTTCCCACTCAGTAGGCTCTTTCCTTTTTTCTCGTTAACAGAATCCTGATTTTAGTTTAGCACCCAAAGAAAGTAAAGGACTGCACTTCCCAGTGTCTCTTGCAACAAAGGGTAACCAATGAGTAGCAGAAACTCTTGGGTAAGGTGAGACAGTGGCATCCCAGTGGGGCCCAGTGCAGGAAAAGGATATCCCTCAGGCCACACGGCCCTGCACAGCCAGAGAAGCAGACACAGGGGGGCACAAGGACCTGAGGGACTTCTCCTTCTTCTGCTGAAGCTGCAGCACCTCCGCTTCCTCCTCTTGCCACAGTTTTTCCCGCAGCTGCTGCATTTTCTCTTGCTGAGATTCCAGCAGCCGCCTCCGATCTTCTTCAAGTTCCTGGGCCACTGCCTCTTCCATGGCCTTTAGAGACGGCCTCAGGTGTTTTGGGGGACCCGAAGGTTCTGTAGATGGCCTGCAGGAGGGGAACAGCTTAGCACTGCAGAGTTACTACCATCCACCTTCAGGATCGAGTTCCACGCAAACACAAAACATCACACGGAGAATCCTAAAGGAGGGCCCAGGGTCAGAGTCACATACCCAACGCAGGCCACACAGGACTGGCAAAAAAAAAAATGCAGCCAACCACTTTCTATAGGACAAGCCCACTATGGCTGAAGAAGCCCAAGGGCACAAGGAGAAGGGCAGCATAGCTGGTAAATCATGTCCTGAGGTCAACATCTGAAACTGTGGCTCCAGAGCTGGCAGCAACAAGGAGGGAGAAGTGCTGCTTCCAGCAGATCTTCCCCAGAATGGCTCAAGCCTGACTCATATGTCTCCACTTGGGTTCTGCTTGCTATGTGAGATTCATGCCAGATGTTTGGACACAGTCCCCAGAGCCTGCTCTCTGCCCCCTAAGCTGAGCAGAGATGCACACGAACTCATAGAAAAAGCAGCAGCTCTGAAGCCTGCAACAGTCCATGGAAGCCTGGCATGGTGACACACACCTATAATCCCAGCACTCTAAGAGGCTGAAGCAGGAGGATCACAAATTTGAGCCCAGCCAGAGCAACTTAGCAAAACTCTGTCTCAAAACAAAAGAAAATAAAGAATAAAGGGCTGGGGATCTGAGGATAAAGTCTGGAGCAAAATCTCTGGGTTCAATCTCAGTTCTGAGGGAACAGCCCCTGGAGCTCCAGCAAATGGGAAACTCCCCTTCCTCACCACCAAGGGAGACAGGCAGGAGATCCTTCGGAGACAAAAATGTACAAAGGTGCAAGAGGGGTTCTATGCTCTGTTTCCCAATGGTGGCGGGTTTTCATCTGCCCAGAGTTAACTTAAAGTTTGGAAATGGGTGAAAGAAATTCAGAGCTAACATGAAGCAGACACAGGTGACGAGGAACAAAGAGATTAGTTTACAAGATGTCTACAGAGTAATGGAAGTTGTTGTTTTACTTATTTTCTGGTTTTGGGGTTTTTTTTTTTTTTTTTTTTTTTTTTTTTTTTTTTTTTGGTTTTTGGGTGTTTGTTTGTTTTTTGACAAGGTCTCACTATACAGCTTAGGCTGGCCTTGAGCTCAGTTTGTAAACCAGACTCGTGTCAAATTCGCAACGATTCTCCTGCCTCAGCCTCCAAAGTGCTGAGATTACAGGCATGCGCCACCACGCCCAGCTATTTTCTGATTTCTGAAGGAATACCTAGAGTGAAAGTTAGGAAACTCCCAGCAGAAAGCATACACAGGACACAATGTTTCACCTTTTGAAGTGACTTTCTGAAGGCCAGCCTAGCCGGCACTTCCTCATGGGCACTCCCTCATCCTAAGCCACAAGACAGAAACTTGTCTCAGCAAATAGGCACTCAGGTTCCTGCAGGCCTAGCTCGTTGGCCCAGTCTACCTCAGTAGGAACATGTGGGCAGCAATCAAAGAGGACCCAGCAAGAGTCAAACCGAGAGGCTGGTGCCCCTGCTGAGGACTCAGAGCCCCTTCCCAGCTCCACACCACAGCAGACGGAAGGCAGCAGGCAGGAACAGAGCTGAACAGCGCAAGAGAACAGGGGTTGGGAATCCCACTGCAGCCCCTGACACCAGAGAGGAGAGGAGCCGAAATGCAATCAGACACGGCAGTTCTTCCCTAAAATCAGAACTCCGACCACAGTCAGTCTTGTCCCGGCTCCGGGTGCCCTCCTCCCACATCCTGGCTTCCTCTCTGTCCCCCAACAGCCTGACTGATGCAGATGTGAGCAGCAAGGCTGCCATCTCCCAGGAGAGCACCGCCCTCAGAAGGAGCCTCCCGCCGCAGCGCTCTGCCTCATCAACCCTCCAACTCATTTCCAACCTTGGCTGAAAACATCTTTTTTCCCTGGGATGGTACCTTAATGTCTGTCTCCCTTGTGGGCTGCGCAGCTATGTGGAGCCCTGGGGACCGATGCTGCAAGAAGACAAGCGTCAGACCGCGTGGCAGCACGTGCCTGGGCTGCATGCACCAGCGAGCCTGCTTGTGTGCCAGGCAGGCAAGCAAACGGGGCCGTTTTTCACAGGGCCTCTTCTGCCTCCCTGGGGTGTCCAGAATGACTTGCTTAGCTCCAACACAGTGAACAATGCTTGCAAGATCGAGGGGGTGATTGGGAAGCTGAGGACGCTGAAGAAGAGGCAGGTCTGATTTCTAGGCCAGCCCACAAGGTATCAGCCATTGTGAGACCCAGTTTCCAAGGGTGAGTGGCAAAGGGGAGACTCTGTGGAGCAGAATCAATTCAGGCTGGAACTCGGCAATGTGTCCATGTGTCCATGGCGGACACATGAGAGAAAGTAAGGCAGTGAGGCAGGGACAGAGGCAAGGGCGGGTGGAGGCCAGGAGAAATACACCCCACACATTCTGAAGCGGCTGCAATACCACTACAGCCAGAGTCGGAATTTAAGGGATCACGTGTCATGCTACATTTGACCAGTGGTTTTAATTCACCTCCTGCCTAGCTCTCTGCAAACCCTTACACAAGACATGAAGAGACAAAGGTGAGGCGAGGCAATCCCTGTGTCCCAGGCCCAGCCCTCTGGCCACTTCCCCTCACCTGCACTCTGTTTCTAACCCTTCTGATCCAGCTGTCACGTGCAGAATTGCTCCCCACAACACCCTGAAAACCAAGAGGTGTCTCATGCAGCTAGGAAGACTGGCTCAGAGGAAGTCATGGAGCCTGAAAAGACTCAAGAAAGGAGCAGAAGGCACTTTCTGAGGGGACAATGTACCTGACCTTTCAGGTCAAGCAGGGTTGAGACCCAGCCCAGGCAGCATCGCTGGGATGGAAGAGACACAGTCAGAGCCTCGGGAAATCCTCCAGAGACAGGATCAGAGAAGATGCCCGTCTGACCTCTGCCTAGGTTTTCCTCTCTCCGAACCATATTCAGAAAGCACTCTGCTCAGCATGTGACCGTGCCCCAGAGACCACGGAGAGCCACACAGTTCCCAGGTCGCAGTGTCCGCTGTACGCCGTACCACTGTGTAGAACCTGTGGCTGCCCCTCCCCAGCATGCCCCTGCAATGTTACGGCAATCACACGCCAGCACGAGCTCAGTGCCGGCAGCTGAGGTGACATTCCCTGAATCCCTCCGTGCAGGAACCTGTTTCTCCTCGACAGCCAGCCCAAGTCCTTTGTTCCTCTCACTCACTGAGGGAAAAATGCCTAAATCCTGGTGCCTGTCTTCCTCTAGGTGGAGAAACAACTGTAAAGAAAGGTAGAAGTCTGGGTTCTAGTGGTGACAGTCTAGTCCTAACTGTGTTGCATTCTGAGTCTCTTTATCTGAAGAGTCTCAGAAATACATCTTGCAAACAAAGACACACAGACATCTCCTGTATGCTATATAATTCTATATATACAAAGGTACAGAACAAGAAAAGCACATCTACAGACAGGAACCATGAGAGCAGAGATCTTAAGTGACAGGACCGAGTGGAGGCTGTGTGGCACACACGCATGTGCACAACTACCAACTCGTCCACTTCAGACTGCGTACCTCCATGGAAAGTTTGCAGGAGAAAAACAGTGCTTAGTAGAAGGGGAACATGACTGACCAGGTCTCTGTAATGAACCACCAGGGCACACCCTCACCCACCTCACACCTTGGGTCCTGCCCAGGGGTCCCAGGAGCTAGGCTAACCCAGGCAAGGCTGAGTGATGGTGATGGCCGCCTGGGGCTCTGCAGGTGGCACACAGGAAGGCACTCCCTCCCCCTGCACCCAGCCCCTGGGCCAGAGCACCCCTCCCCACCACCCAAGGAGCACTCCAGAAATCTACGTGCAGGGAGGACAGGGACAGATAAAATTGGCCCTTACCCCTCTGGAGAGACTGGCAGAATGGCACTGACTGCCACCTTCTCAGGCTCCTCGGTCTCTTCCTGCTCAGAGCCCAGATCCTTGGCCTGGTCCCTCTTGTGGGCAGCCACTGGGCTTGAGTCCTGCTCCCTTGAGAGCAAAAAGGAAGCAACTGTGTTAAAGCCAGCATGCAGACAAGAGGCTTCGCCTGCAACCCACGCAGGGGCAGAGGCCTGCAAGGGGGCAGGAGGGGCAGGCCAACAAGGTTTCCCTGCCTCGGACTCCAACCTCGCACTTCCTTCCCAGCCTCTCACTGAGTTCTGTGCACTCCATCCCATGCGGGAAGCAGTACAGTTGTGCCATTAAAAGAGAAGCTCTGAAGGAAGCCCTCAGTGGGTGCTACTGGCAACGTCACTGCCACTCAGTGTCCCTGGTGGCTCATCCCAACCAGATGAAGCCTAAGGCCAGCGTCTTCCCCTTGCTAGGGAACTGAGGTACTGGCACATGTGCACTGGGCTCCAGACCAGGCCGCGATGGAAAGGCCCTCTCAGCTGTCTCGGGGGCACTGGGTCTCACTCTCTCAGGACCTAGCACTCAGGACTCCAACAGGTTTGTGGAGTAGCCAAAGCTGAGCAGACTGCTGACAAGGAGGGTGTGGGACAGGGAGAGAGGACCCTCCTGGCAAGAAGGGAGCAGCCAGGGCAACAGCAAAGCCTCCATCCCAGTTCCTGACAAGAGGTCATAGGAACAGAAGCGACTCTACTCAAGAGCTCCTAAGCTCCCCTAGTACCCCTGGCTACCTCACTTTCAGTTCTAGATTGAGCACAGGGTGAAGCAGATTTCCTGCTCCCCAGCTCCTGTGTCTGTTGTCGTTGCTGCTGCTGTTGCTGTGCTGCTTCAGCTACAAACTCAACCCGGCTGCAGCCTCCGCCCCCAGGCCCACCCCATCCTGTGTCCCTCAGCACCAGTGCAGACACCCATGATGCACAGAAGGGCCGCCGCCACCCGTGGCGCTTCTCCCTCACCCTTACCTCTGCCGGGACACCAGCATGATGGGACTGGCTGCGGAGTCCTCCTCAGGCTCCCCCACATCCATCTGCCCAGGCTGCCCCTCAGAGGTCTTTGGGGGTCCTTCTTCTGTGGCCTGGCTATGCAGGGAACTCTGGGGCCACTCCCCGTGTAGAAGTGGAGGAGACAACCTGGTTAGGAGAGCCAGAGCAGCCATGTGAGGCCTCCATTCAGACAGCAGGAAGAGAGCTTGGGAGTGCAGTGTGCAGCCCTAGGTCAGTGCCTGCTCCCCAGCTAGACCCAGCTCCTGCCCCAAACCCACACTGAGAGCTGCAGGGCAAAGCAGCCAGAATCCAGCAAGGAGACATTCCCCTCTGAGCTCTCTGTCTGCCAAAATCAAATCAAGCTCCCAGCACCTTGTGCCATACCGCCTTGGGCTAGGAGACCTGCATGCTTTCCCATGCATAGCCATTCCCAGAATTCACCACCACCACGGGCTCGGGAGAAAACAAAGGACTGAGTGGAAAATAGAGAAAGAGTGCCAGATTCAAATGATCAGACCTCAGAAAATACACGAGGCTGCAGCATCAAAAAAGGATGCCGAGAGTTTGCCAAGGCCCAAGAGGAGGATGACCACACTCCTTTCCCTTCTGGGGTGGTGGCCTTTCTCAAGCCTGAGAAAGCAGAAACAACCTCGGAAGGCCTTATGTGAGCGCACGCATGCACACGCACTCTTTGCACAGCCTTCCAGCCAGTTCACTGTCTGCTTTCAGGTGGGTGACAAACAGCCAGGTCAACCACCAGAGCCAGTAATTCTGCCCATTCCACACTATCCTGAGGGCCCACTGCTCCTCAGCACTCTAAGGACAACCTCTCCAAGAACAACCTCCTGTGCACTGTACCTCTCTGGGCCTTTGGGCCGCTTACTCTGGAGCTCTGCTCGGCTGGGCTGGCTGACATCCCGGATTCCTCTTCCTAACCTCTGAGACTGTAGACAACAAGCAGTGAAAAGTACGTATTAGCAGGGCCTGCACTGTAGGAGCTCCCCATCCTGCTGATTCCATGCTTAGTAGAAAGCACTAAAGGGTGGCTCTCAGCAGGATAGGGGGCAAAGGGGACACAGAGCCAAAGGCCTGCCTGTGATGAAACCCCAGCCTCATAGTAAAGGGGGAGACAAATGGCCCCAGCCCCTACACACAGAGCAAGGGGCCTGGGGCAGAAGGTGAACATACAAGAAAAACAAAAGCTGCCTCCTGCTGCTAGAAGCCTGCAGTGCCGCTGCAGAGAAAGCAGAGCGACCCATGACCACCCAAATCCACTGAGGCCTTGACCAGCAGCGCCAATGATACTGCTAAAATTAAACAGGCAGAATGGAGGGCAGCTGGCGGGTACATCAGGAAGGAAAGATCCTGGGGAGCGAGGGTCTTGGTGGCACAAGAGCAGGCTCTGCCCCAGAACAAAGGGGCAACTTCTGGCACCTGCAAGAAGGCAGATAACGGCATTCCTGCGACTGTTCCACCTGGGACTTGTTGAGGACGTGGGTCCCCTCCCAGGACAATGACACCTACAGCCAGGGATTATAACAGCCATTCAAAATTAAACCCCCAAATCTTATTTGAAAGTCTGGGTGTCTAGGCAAATTTAGCAAAATGGTTTTAAAAAAAGAAAAGACTGTTTGGAATGATTCTAGCATTTCCCACAGCGATGCAGGCAGCTGAGGTCTGCCCTCCGTGCTCACACTTCCTGCCTGGGGAGTCTGCCTCCTCCACATGGGACAGGGAGCCACAGCGCCCAGGGCTCCTGCTGAGGATCAGATGCGATCATGTACATAAGCCCAACTCCCGGCCCAGAGAAGGCAGCCGTGACTGTCGGCTCCTCTTTCCGTGTGCCTTTTGCTCTCCCCCAGACTGAGGCAAACAAAAAATAAAAGGGAAGAAAAGAAAAAGAAAAGCCTTTGCCAGAGCCAGGCCCGTTCCAGGACCTGTGCTCCTTCTGTCACCCCAACAGGAGCCCCGTCTGTTCTGGGACACAGGGGTCAATGGGAGAGGTGGGGCAGGAGACAGCTCACTCCATCTTCCCCAGCGGGGTCCCCAGCCCCGTGCCCACCCCCACACGCACCTCGCCACCAGCAGCCTGAGCCCCAGCAGCTGTGGCCAACTCTGCCATCTGGATGGGCGAGGAAGGGCACGGCTTGTGCTAACACCCAACTCCCCCAAATTACATTAAAAATAGCAGTGCCGCCTGTGAGCACCTCATGAGCCTGCAGCAGAAGGGCTCCCTGCCAGGGCCGCCACTCCTCATTGCATCAGCCTGGGAAGGCCTGCAGACAGTGACAGGGCCACGCAGCCCCCACGCTGCCAGGACACAGTGCACAGAGTGTCTTCTGCTGAAAACCACACCAACCTCACCAAATATCCCCCTCTCTCACTTTTCAAGGAAGACAGGGAAAAAAAAAAAAAAGACTCAGGCCAACTCCATTTAACAAACTAACAAAGTACGGTTTTCATAGTAACTGAGGGACAGAGCCCTGGGTCAGAAAGGACTCCCGCAAAGAAGTGGGCACCTGGCGGCCAGAGACAGATCAAGTCTTTCTGCCTCAGCCCTTCTTTCATTGTCTGTGTTTCTACAAGAAACTGAACCAGCTCCCCAGCCAGAGAAAATGGAAACCTTGGGAATACAGCCTGACAAGGAGCTCTCTGAATGGAGATTTTCTTTCTCCCTAGACCTTTACACCCCTGAAAAGGAAGCAAAGCATTCTTCAGAAAGGAGAGATAGAGTCCTGGGGTGGAGCTCTGTGGCACAGCGCCTGCCCGAAACTGCAAAACTCTGAATTCAATTCCTGATACAGAGAAGGAAGGAAAGAAGAGAGGGAGAGAGGAAGGGAGGGAGGAAGGAAG